TAATCCTCTAATAGGTGATAGATAAGGCAAGGAAACAAGCTATTAGAAGCTGCGTCAACAGCTCATTTTCACCCTTTTTGTAGGAATCGGCTCACACATAAATCTTTTCATGGGAAGGAGATAAGGGGTAATGACATCTAAGATTAGCGCTAGGTAAGAGTAAACATAATAAGACGAAAGACAGACACATTTTAGACAGTACACCTCCCTCAAGTTTTTCTCTACATTAGAGATCTCGCCAAAATTAGAACACCCACAGCAAAACGTTTCTTTTGCCAAGGTCAAAGAAGTATGCGTATGTTTCTGAAGTGTATCGGTCCAATTTTCTATTTACTAAGACAACACAGCCTCTTCGATTTCAAGTTTTATGTGTAATACAGTTCTTACAAAAATACAATTTGCAATCAACAGGCTAATTGACTTGTTTTAAAAACACAATAAGGCAAAGTAATTTTGCGTGACAGCGTGACACAGTGAAAGTAGACAGTGAGAAATTCTCGAAATTCAGGCGGTTCCTTGTTCTTAGAATAAACCTAGGTGGGACATGATCGACTTTAAAACACTCCGAGGATGCTCTCAATGGGGAACTGTCTACAAACAAGCGGGTTCTCTACAGTTTTGAAATAAACACTTCGACGGGTCGGAAGTTCACGCCTAAAACAATGTACAATGGCATCTTCGGTGGCGAGGCTGTCGTTATTGACCGGTAGTTAATAAGAAACTGTTGGGCCTTAGAGACCTCCATCACAAGAAACCAACGTTTATAGGGTTGTGAATTATTTATCGATACGAGAAGGCTGGAGTTATTGAAGGAAACTATAAGTCTCTCGAGTTATCGTTGTCTAAGGTCAGTCAAGATGTTGGGGTCTGCTATTTGACAATACCTACATGTAGGTGAGTGAGTACCGTTGCGTGTGTAGATAACGAACGCTCTCAGACTTAGAAGTTGAACCTCTGGAGATTTCCCCCAAGCTGAACAGATTCAATTTCCGGAGAATATCATTTCGCATCATCATCGCGTTTTCAATTACAGAAGACTCGAGTGAAGAAAAAAAAAATAATCAGGAAGATAACTTTGTCCAGATGCAAACCCTGATATTCTGAAATCACATGATAAAGCTATGATGTCCCAAGTAGAATGAGCTGCTTTGGTGGACAAATTTCCCCACAGTATTTTTTTATATATATTTGGGCCTCGAAGTGTAAAGATTTTACAGGCCATTGAGTAGTGGTACACTCAGGAGTCAACAATAGCTATAACGGTATCTTACAATCTAGCATACTAGTATAAAAACAACAAAAGAAATTACTGATATAACTATTTTAAGAAAAGGAAAGGACATTGAAAATTATATTAAACGCAAACCGCAGTCTTTTCTTCTCACAGAAACCTCACGAAGCGTTGGATGAAGGTTTTTAAGAGCAGGAAATTGTGTTTGTAAACAAACTCTTTGTTTAGTCGTATACTTACACGGGTTATTGCCGATAGACTGAGGTTAAATCAAAACAATTTAGTAGCAATGTAGCGTTCTTTATTTACTTAAGAGCCTATTGGTTTACTCAAGAAATGGCCACCATTTTTTATGTAAGCAACGATTCACGTACCTGTTTGAGGATTGTTCTTGATTTTCAGTCGAAACAATGGATAAGTAAGGCTTACTTGACGCGTGTTTATAATAAATGTGAATTAAAATTGACACAAATCATGATTACTAAACGGCTTGTCCATCTAGCACATAGATATTTTGTCGCAAAGATATTGATCCAAGCACAGTATCTCGCTTATAGTTGTGTTTTGTATGTTTGTTTTCAAAACTGGAGATAAATGGGGAGAGAAACATATGCAAATATGTCTAAAAAAGCAAGTGGATTAAAAAAATTCATAGACTGAAACGGTAGCGAAAAATCGCACATAACCGTAAATATGTTCAGCTTATCCTTTAAATCGGTTGCCTTCCTCTGCATTTCAAATTTGATGCAGTGGAAAGCTGGTCGAGTTTCATCAAACTCTAAGCAGGGGTCGTCCATGATTGATGGGGTCGAACACGTTTTTTTTTTTCGCAATTGTCACACAGCAGCGTAGGGGAGAACTATAACGATTTAAAAGCTCTGTGAAAACGAATGGACTTCACCGGCGGTTGACAAGAGAATGTGACGAGGAAATAACGCGTTGAATGACATTAAGATTGCTCTCTTGTCTAAACAAACAAGCTTAACGGCGATTACTTTCACCAGTTGTGTCTACGACACCTCTGCGTGTGAGCGAATCCGCATCGAGATTAACTGACATTTAATTTGAACTTTCAAGAAACTGAGATAAGAGAATGAACCGCATTCGAGCGGTTATTGACGTGTGAGCATAAGCTCTTTGTAAGGAGGCGGTGTTCCCGAGGTTAAGGCTCATTAATAGCCAACACCTGATTCTTACCATTGGTGTTGTCGAAATAATGAGGTCTTGCAACGTCTTTGGAATATTGTTTCTGAATAAAGCCCCTAAGTAACCTTAACAGCAAAAACAATGAAAGCGTATAAACATTTCACTTACTTCCTGTGATCAAACGCACCCGACTAAAAGCCGAAAATAGCTCTCAAAGTCTCTACACCTACATGCAAAGTGATTTTTGGCAGTAGCTAATGGAATCAGACATCATAAAAGTGCGTGGAGATTTTGCGGAATCCCATCAATTCACACGCTTGTCACTTAATTATGGCGTTCCCGCCAAGGGCAAAGCTGTCAGTTCGCGAGGCTTGTCGAAACCGTAGATGCAATAAACGTTGCGTATACATAATCGCTATCCAGTGGTGAAATTTGGATTACCTCGGTAAACAGAAACAGCGGGTTAACTGATAAACTTCCGCGGATTTCTGTCATCGCTTTTCTCAACCGGATTACACGAACGTAGACCAGAGAAATACAGCTACAAGAGGTGTTTGCCTAGCTAATAAAGTGCTGGCGTTCGATGCCTGGTTCGACTTGGCGCGTGTAAATACACTAACTTGAACAACAAGCAAATTTCAATTAACTAGCACGCGAGCCAGGGCAACTGTTGTTTCGAATGTAAATAATAGGGCAATAAATTGAAGTATGACCAATCACGGTGCTCAAATCTAGAAACAATTATGTCTAGCGAGGACAGTGGGAGAACAACCCGTGGCGAAAATATCAGAGAAACCCCATTTCTTTCTTTAAACAGATTCCAGACTTATGTCAAGGTTAACTACGCGGGTTAAATATATCGGAGTCGCCTTACGTTAGCGAAACTTGACGGGATTAGAGAGATATTTTATGAGAAAGAAGTTCCGAAGTCACTGAACGAAGGTAATTGAATCTGCGAATGTATAAACATGTACGCATTTATGTTAAAAATCATTGGGTTAACAATTATTTCGGTACCATCGGATCTAAATCAATGTCAGCGAACCTCTTCTTGATTTAATGAGTTATCGCGTGATTTAGAAAATTGGCGTGCTATCCAAAGTTTTATTCGAAAAAAATTCTGCAGCTGTCTTCCTCCATTTGAGAAGGGAAACAATGATAGCCTTTGCAGTTGTGTGGGTCAAACATAAATGTATAAGAAAAGATCATATTTTCCTAGTACAGTTACAAGAACAAACAATTTGCCTAGATCAGATAAGGCCCAGAGGAGACGGTTTTGTCATTGCAACACCAAGTTGACCTTTGAATTTCATATTTGGCGATTATGCGACAAAATGTGAGAACCACAGCTGCTGATTTCCGGAGGGTAGGGAAGAGAAAGATGGGTGACAAAAAAACTGCAAAGAGTTTAGACGTATCTCTGTAGACACTGCAGAATTTTCTTGCAAGACCCTCGAAGGAAATGTTCCCCTAAACTGGAAATTGTTTGTTTACACTTAGTATAAATCTTTAACAACGCTTCTGAGTAAACATTCTGCATGTACACAAACTTAATAGTACCAGCAAATACTGTAATCAACTCAACGAGAGGGAATTCAATGGCGTGTAGCGAGATATTTACTTTTCTGGGAGGTTTTATCACATTGCAGTTACTCTAAACTGTAATTAAAACCGAGGAAGTAATTGTATTATGGTCATTCTTGACTGCAGCAAAATGAGTACTTTGAGCTTATCAGTTCGTACCACTATCGTCTTAACCGTCGCCCGTTGATTCAATTCAGAGAATTTCTAATAAAGTCTGTTTATCCGCGCGATAATAACGTACGATTGTCGAGTTTCGCTTATAAAATTTTTTCCCGCGCGCTTCTTGATTGTTTTGTCCTCTCAGTGTGCACAGGTAGAGAGAAGTAAGCGCTTATGTCTTCGCGTTTTGTGGTGTTGTTTTGTGCGAAAGAAGAGCACGCATTTGCATGGTATAGCGGCCCAGCGTGGGGTAGCATTATCGGGCGAAAAGAAACTCAGCAGGTATTTTGTAATAATAAAAAATAAAATCGACATCGCATAATTAAAGCTAAATAGCTTGCACTTGGCCTAGACAACATGTGAATTGCTTTGTGCCTTTCAATACCCTTCATCCGCCAATTGCTTCACTTTGATTGGTGAAGTCTCAAACCAGGTGTTAACCATGGGTGTGGGGAAGAGCGTTTCGCTTTTCGCTCCTCCTTGACTGATAACGGAAAATATTTTCTCACCCTTAGTGTAAATACAAAACAAAATGCCGGCAGTCAAGGAATTTGTCTCCTCGCGAGTAGTACACAGTAAAGTAAAATAATTTTGGCATAGATGAAGTAAATAATAATACTAGTGAATAGATAGAAACAATTAAGGGCCTAAACGGACAAGCAGCAGCTGTCGGGGTAGGTGGTCGCATTGCTACCAGACAAATAAATGAACCAATTGACGCTTTGTAAAGGGCGTAATGATTGGTCCGATGGACAAAAGATAGCGTGATGTCAGGATATTTATAGAATGTGATAGATAATGAATAGACGAGCCAATCAAATGCCAAATCGAATAGCAAACAGCAAACAGTCTTTAGAATTTCTAATTTATATATTATTGCCTCAGAACAGCCTCCAACACTTCAGAATTAACTCTGTCAAACGCAAGCAAAATGGCCTCAGCAACCCACGAGCAGCAGCTAGGCAGCTACGAACCGGAAATCAAAAAGGAGGACGACAGTGCGAGCCCAAGCGACATTGAGAAAACCGAAATTAAGGAGACCTCGACGAAAGATCCGAATGTCAAGCCACCGTACTCGTACGTAGCTCTGATCGCGATGGCGATTCGAGAGTCCTCTGAGAAGCGGTTAACCCTGAATGGAATTTACCAGTACATTATCAACAAGTTTCCATTTTACGAGAAGAATAAGAAGGGATGGCAGAACTCTATCAGACATAACTTGTCACTGAACGAATGCTTCATTAAAGTGCCTCGAGAAGGCGGCGGGGAAAGAAAAGGTAACTACTGGACCTTAGATCCAGCCTGCGAAGATATGTTTGAGAAAGGAAACTACAGGCGACGTCGCCGCATGAAGAGACCCTACCGCCAACCAACTTTGCAACACAACGGAATGTTGACAGATCCACGCGCCACGGCGTACGGTAACTACATTGCGCCTAAGTGGTCGGCGTATAACCAAGTTCAGAGCGTACCCGCTGGAGCAGGAACTTGGCGAACAGCACAGCCCACTGGCCCTCTCTCGTACCCGTGCAATCCTCAAACCTCAAGAGTTCCTCCTGGCTATGCAGTTGCACCGTACATGGGAATGGGTTCAACTGTCGGAGTCCCTGTCAGCTCTTACGCAGGTACGCAGTATTCAACACAAATCCAGAACCCTGTGAATAACCAGTGTGGCTACGGAGCCATGGGAATGCCCAGTGTTGGCTGCCGCAGACAAACTGATCACACTGCTGCAGTCCATCATTTCAATCCATATTGGAATCCACCTGATAAGCATACTTTCGACGTGCAGCCACGATCATGAATGAAGTTAATGACTACAAAACATTTCTACAATCTAGAGATTTTATTTATATGAAGCCCATATGAGAATTACCCTTGGACGAGACTTGCTATGTGAATAACACTACGAAAGACTAAACAAACCTCAACAAACCAGGATAAACAGTGTACACTACAAAAATATAGAGATCATGTAATATTTCAGTATTATATTTACTTTAATCATTAAATCAAAGGTTCCCATGATACGGTATTTGGGATTAATACCTATCGAGAGCAGAGCTGAATCAAATTGTATTAAATCTTATATTATCTACAAACAGAGAAAAGAGAGAGAGCGCAAATAGAAAAAAAACATGGCTTTTCTTACTGTTACTGCACCGTTTCCACATTTTCAAAGTATTTCAACAGAACTGTAACTACATTAGAAACGCTTTTGTGAATTTTTATCAGCGTAGGACGACATGTTCAGTGTAAAGGCGTCAAACGCCGTAGTTAAGCGTAGTTCAAACGCGAAGAGAAATTTAATTTCAGAGCTGCGATTTGCAGAACACATTTAAGGCAAGAAACAATTATTGAAGGTTATCTTTCCAGTTTTTTGATCTTGACTCTAATTCTGATTTTTTTTTTCCTTTTCATAAAGCATTTTTTACGGGAGGTTATTCAAACGATCGAGGAAGTACAGCATAATCGCAATTTTGTGAAAATAATTTATTTGCCAAAGGCAGCGATATCAGTGTCTTTTCTATGCCCTCAATGCAAATAAACTCTTAACCGGGATATCGGGATGTTTTGATTTTCTAGAGTAAATAAGGGGATAACAGAATCAACAAACCTTCAAGCCACATAAGTGATTGCTGGTATAATTCAAAGGCTTTAAAGTATAGGGAATCGATGTGGATTGTATTTTGGGTCATCAGGTCAAACTAAATTTGTACCGTACCCTTCATCGAAATATCATCGACTTCTTCATGTGGTCAGCTAGGAATATTTACGTTGACACCACAATTAAGAACAAACGACGCGTTTCTCCTATTGCCTCCCAAAAGTCTGGTCAAAATATTCACCACACTCCGCTTTTGAGAAACCCGAGACGTAGGTCGTAGAACTGTTACCTCCAATCTCAGAGTATTCATTATTTCTTCCATTATCCTCCCACTATTTGCCTTATCGTAGCAATTGATTCTCCAAGTCGGCTCTTGTTTGAATACAAAACGTAATAATCCTCCTAGCACCGCCAATAGGCTGGGAAAAAACTGTAGAAAACTAAGACACAGTTTGTTATTAACTGGTCTTGTTTTCGTTCGGAATATAAACCATCGCTGAACTTTATGGTGTTTTGACATTAAATTAAGCTTTTTCCATCGCTCATTGTTAACCAAACTTTCTGTTAAATAGTCGGCAATTAAATACTAGCTGGACTGCGAGAAGAGGGTATTTGGAGACTAGAACGGACACGAGACTTGACAATGTTAACTCAATTTTAAATGTTGTCATGACCGAGATAATGCTTTCGCGTGCTTTTTAAAATCTCGCGTGATTTTCAAGTCAAATAGCGTAAAATTTTTGATCAAATTTACATTCCGGTACACAGATCTCTGCCGATGACCACACGATAGTTGTTATTTTCACGAAAATCAAAATCAAAACTTTTAACGAGCTGAAACTTTGATACGAATGTAGACCTAAGCGATGTATGAATATCGCCGGCCAAGACTTCTTGTATTCAAATTAACCACATATCCCGAGGCAAATCGGCAAGATAAGAGAATCATTTATGGTCGCTCGCCTCCAAAATCGCACAAAAGATCTCATGGAAAGACACGTGCGAATAAAAACTCTCTCCTTCTTTGCGTATGAACTGAATGCAAGTGTAAAGGGGAATATGCTCTCCTTATCGGCGTCGGTAACAAAATATGATTTATACACAGCCGAATTTTCTCGTAACAGGTGAACTTGTATTTTGACTTGCAGCTTCCGTACAATGCGATCTTTTATGAAATGCATGACGAACAGTTGAAAAAATTTAGGGTGGGAAATTTTACCGATCTAAGTCTTTCCGAAACAGCTGTGATAAACTAAAGCTTATTTCTGAAGGAAATTAAGAGGAAATGTTTCTGATTAAAAAGATATATTGCATTTCCATGGATTCGAGGATGTGCCGCTTTTGAATTGACCCTGTAGGGTGTCTGAGCACTGTAGGCAGTTTCAAATCACCGTACGTAGTGATCGCCAAGCTAGGCTTCTAGCCCAGCAAAAAGAAGAAAACGTGGAATGTTTTTGCAAAGTGGAGATTCATATTTAGGACTCAAGTGCCACGCGAAAACGTTTTTGTTGTTTGCAAATTTTGAATTTAGAATCGATTGCTTTCTGTTTTAGCGACGTTGTGTCGAAGCTTTCAAAGTAAATCCATCACTATTTTAATAAAATTCTTATTCCAAAACTAGCGTGATAATATGAGATCTTGTTCCTATCCAATAGTTTAAAACTAGCTTCAATCATAGCATCACCGCTGAGCTGGTGAGCCCACAAAAGAAGTTATATACATTTTCTATTTCTCTTCAGTCTGAACCTTCTCCAGGTTATCTACCAGGGGACATAAACAAAGACGTCGCACAGAGAATATCATTATTTCGGGGTCTTAGTGTGTTATTTTCATCCCTTACACTGCTCTAGGACTCTCTAGCTGGAAAAAAAAAAAAAAACAGTTTTTGAAAGAAATTGTAGTCCTCGGCTAAAAAAAGCCTTTCAGCTTACAAAAAAACTGTTGCTTTTTTAGGGGAATTTGGTCTGCACCACACCAGGGTGTTACGGACGTAAATACGTTAACGGAAAACTTCAGACACAATTTATTATTTCATGCGAAGTGTGTTTGCAGGCGACGCCAGCCTAACTGCATTAGCACCTGTGGGCTTGCAGCCGGAGAAGTTCTTTTTTTGTCAAAGGGGAAAACTTGTCCACCTCAAAAAAGCCATTGAAGTAACCTTGGAGATGCTGAGGCATTTCCTTCACACTTGTAATCGTAGTCATTCGGGAACCCTATGATGTAGCCCTGTGTGGCCGAATATTCTCCAAGCAAAGATAACTATCATAGTGATATTTTCACTCTAGTCTATGGGCCTAACGCCTAATTTAGCAACCCCATTCCCGTTTCTTTTTCTTCTGGTTTTGTGGTAGTCATAACCACATATATCGACTACACCTCAGGAAATAAGATAATTACAGCTTTGATTAAATTATAGGAGAAATCGTAAATCGCAATTCAGTTCTCCCTCTGTATTAACGTCAACAACTAGCTATCAAAAACACACAGTACAGATGGGCATTGGGATACTCTATTTCTATTTTTTGCCAACAAAAACAAATTTCCTAAAATATCATGAGATTATATTCCATACAGTTTTGAATGTTATGAAAATACTCTCACGTTTACAAATCCTCTTTTAACTAGATTACTTTTTAAATTTTTTTTTTCTACTGCTCCACAAATATCCTGAATATAACATCATCATTACAAGGATTTTTTTACTTTAACTTTTCACACATTATGTTTTATTCCATTTCTACTTGAATTATTACAGAAGAAGGATGAACGAAAATCAAATGAAGCTTCTTGGTAGTAAATTAAGTATTTGGCGAATAACTGGAATCTTACACAAAATATGTCAACGAACATGACGAAACAGAGGCGTAATTTCACATCTGTTCCAACTGGAGGAAAAGAATTCCTTTCATGATGGCCAACTACATGTGTGACACAAGAAAAAAAAGGAGAAGAAGAAGACAACCTCAGTTATTGAAACGATATGATTATGATAATGCTAAGATTAAATTGATATCTCTTCAAGTACAATCTTCCAAAGCTCACCAAAGGTAATTAGCACGATCATGTTTCTCCAGATCAATTGAATATCCCAATCGAGAGCTACTTCACAACCAATCATTATTTAAAGCATGAAGGCTATTTTCCTTCAAATATGTAAACGCGACTTCTTCAGTGAAGCTATTTAATGAGGTTAAGTTTTAGAAATAAAAAAATAATATCAAAAAATGTATGGTACAATAAATATTTCATTAACTTTAGAAGCATCTTAAATGTCTATATCCTTTGGCGCCTTTGGCTCATTAGCTAGCGAGAAATATTACACTGCGAAAAGAGGATTATCTGTGCCCATCATATGAACTGGACACCGTTGGTGTTTTAAAGTTATTAGCTGTTAATGTAATTCGTGCAAAGATTGACAATTTTGAAGCCTGGCGGTTTCCATCTTGAAGCGCATCAGACAGCAAATATTTCATTTCCTTAATGTTAACGATTCGACAAAGGAATAATAATACCATGCATCCCTGTTAACAGAGTAGAGAAAACTAAAATTGCCTAGCCTGCTATTTCAGCACCGAAGGACTTCAGCCACGACTTCGCGAGGCGAAGTTAAGCAACTGGGGCATCACAGCGCCGTGCGAAATTGATCTCTCGGTCAGATCTCAATTATTACCAACTTGTTCATCTATGAGAGAAAAAAAATCTATTAATAAAGGTCTTCGATCCTTATTTTAACCAAACAAGGTTGAAAAGAAGCTTCAGCCAAGTGAAAAGAAAAATGGGTTTGACGAGCATTACAAACCGTCGCAACCGATATGTGTTTTTATGCTCGTTCCGTTTACAAGCAGTGTACAATACAAAGTCACCCTTGCAAAGCTTCTAGTTGATAATACTGAAAATATTTTGACATAGATAAGAATTAGGCAAAATATCCAGCATTGTTACCGCAAGGATTTTTCAACAACAGTTACCCATTTAGCTTTGCTTTGTCAATTCCAAATATTTGCCATTTCTTCCTCCCCTTCTTCAGTCCATTTGTAGCAGTCAGCTTCGAGGCATTTCTACTAATTCAAGACGTTTTCGTTTCACTCAGTTATACGGGCCTCGCTTTCGGTCACTTCTAGATTGACTACACGTGCACTTGTAATTTTCACCCTTCATTACTAAAGTGGAACCAATGTACTGATCAATCCAACCGGGTTTGAAACCACAACTGGGGTAAAGAGCACGTCGGCAAGATGTTGTTGTCAACAAATTAGAATTACAAAACCGATAAGAAAATTTGAATTCTACCATTGCCAATGCGTAGCCCATCGCAAATCAGGCTGCAGATGAAACTAAACGCTGTTGTGAGCTTGTTTGCAAACATATACGGTGCCGAAAATATAACATGTCCTGACGGATGAAGACATACTAAGACGATGCTGATAGAACTACTCCAGTGCGCCTCTGTCGCCAAGATTCTAAGTTTAGACTAACCACAGAAAATTAAAAGTACTCACACTCAGACATGCTTGCTATTCTTTATTGAATTTACACAAGAGCGCTTTCTTTTAGTTCACATACCGTTTAGTCAGGGTAGACTGAACTTTCGACTGATCCAAGCGTAAAATAGACAATAAACATCGCTTGATCGCGGTCAAACAAATCCCTTGATTTGCCCGCTTTGATGTTTACTTGTAACCTAAGTAATCACGCGATATTAATTTTGCCAAGCAAATTCTAGTGAAGTAGAAGTTACCGACTGTTATTGCGTTCAGTGTATCGCAGTAAAATCAACGGGATTCTGTTGAGGCCGAAGACTGAACGTAACCGCGCAGCCCGCAAAGTTCTGTGAAGCCTTTACCCGTTAAGATGCGACTGTTTGGAAGTTAAAAGCCACAAGGAGTGGAATTTCGAATACCGCTTTTCTGGACACTAGTGCATTCAAAGCATCTCAAACTTAAATAGGAAATCAAACATAGTGAAAAGTTAGCAGCAGTGAAATCTTAAATGATATTTCTTTTTCCTCGCTCCATACTTGCAAAGATTCAGTCACCGCTCTGGCAAAGCATAAGAGACAATGAGGCCATAAATAAAGAGAATAGAAAAACAGGAAAGCGGGTGTAAATAAAGGCGACGGAATACAATTAAACCAGCAAGAAAGAAAGGGAAAAAAAAGTCCACATTCTCCTTGCGATTCATAATATCGTAAAGTGGCGTAAGAAAATTGGAAATGATTGCTCAAGCAGCCGGCTTTTCGAGATACATTATCAACCGGTAACTAAATAGCAAATAAGATTTGACAGTCAATATTTAACATACAAGTTTGCAATGACTAGCGTGAAGATGAAAGGTGCAAATATTTACCCGAGACAGTTTTATAAGATCAAAATAAATGAAAATATCAGATTTACTGTAGCCGTACTACGTGGGCTTGTGGGCGCCGAAATTGAGAGGACTTTATATGATAGACGGCGAAGATGTGTTCCCCAAACAGCGAAATCAATATCGTTAACTGAATGGTTCGCAGTCAGCATTAATGTAAACTAGAAGGGCGCTTACACAGATAACCTACAGCAGGTTACTTATCATCTCAAGACAATACAACTAAAAACAAAACCGTTTTTACGAAGTGTAAGACTCATTCAGACTTCTCCTGGTGTCATGTTTTATAGAAAGTCATGTATTTACTCTGCAACCAGCGCTTAGCGAGAATTATTCCCTTAGAAGCGATAAAACCGTAATTTCCGAAATAAATTTCATGAATAGAAAGGGAATCACCGCCTTTCTTAACTCCTTTACATCGAATGTTTGTCGACACACAGGACTTCACTTTCGGGATATTTTTATTATCGCGTTGATACAAATGCAAGATACAACCTACAATCGCTTGCAATTATTATCAGACGGAAAAATTTTATTTTGGCTTCGAGCTGATCGCCTTCAGTAAATTATTCTAATTTGAGATTACTATGAAATCTTTCAAACTCTAATTGGATTTTATTACAACTCATGAAAATAAGGTTGCAATGAGTACAACGCTTAAAACGAAACTCAGATTGGAATAAACTATTTACAACCTACCGATGTATGAAGTTGGAGGAGTTATTTTTAAGTCCTATAATTATTCAAAAGCGTAAAAGAGTCACAAGAATTGTCGCGAATCATGTTTCATTTATGCCTATTTCAGAATCATCAAAAGCCATGGCAGATAAGCCTTGTCGCAAACCTGTGAACTGTAAAAAGGAACAAAAAGGCATCAGCTATCTAAAATTGATTCACGCAGGTCATCACTATGTACAAAACTCAAATGCGTTAAAATAATTAATATTTCTAGTTCACCACGGGGGTTTTTTGGAAACTTACATTTCGGTTCACTGAGATACAGTTCTTTTATACCACGTTTCAAGATGAACTGCGTAAATGCAAAAGATATGTGATATTTTCTCTATTTAAATTGAAATAAATAAAGGCGAGAAGAATTATCGCCAAGATATTAATCAGTGCTTCAGCTTCGAAGGATATTATTCTTGTTTTGAAAAAAATCAAGCTGTTTGTATTGTTTTATGGGAAAATAAAGCCGTGTAAACATAGTTGGTAGGACGAGTAAGCAAACAAACTTCAAACTTAAATATAATCGACATTTAAAGACGAGACGCTTAATTAACAGCAAATATTTGATCAGAAGATGAAAGGCAATCTTAACGTCGCATCTGCGGAATTTTTAGGCGAAAAATGTCAAAATTAAATCCTTTTTTACATCATGAATATTTAAGCCGGATACTTTAGCTGATCACGCTCTTTTTGCTTCAGCAATTTCCGCAAATTTTACGATAGTTAATTAGGGAGATAGAATTCTATAAATCGAGAAAATTCCAAAAATCCAAGCTTCTGCCCACGGCCAAGACAATTGCATTTTGGGTTTCCCTCTATTGGTGCATATATCATATTTTTTGTCTGTTAAGCCAGAAGGCCATCAATAAATTTATTGAGCCCAATATTCGCGGTAAGACAAGATAAAAAAGAATCATAATAATTGTAATAAACATTTGATGTTTCCTTTGATGGTAAATCATCCGCAGGAAAGCCCCCCAATGTACAGAGATAGTCAAGAACAGGAAGCAGCAAGATTATAAGCGTAGGAGACTTTTCGAAATGAACATTAGTTTTCACGTTACTGGGATAATAAGAGGGTGTTCTCTAAAAAGCAATTAAAAAAGGAAAGAAGAAATAGGGAATTATGGAAAGAATATTCAATTGAAAATTCAAATGCAGTGTGAAACGTCTCGGTTGCTTCAGTTAAAAAGGCGTGGTTATTAAAAGCACTTTTACATTTAAGTGAACATTTCCAATAAAAACATAAAACAAGTAGTTCGTCTGCTATTCCGTTTCCTTTAATATAGACGACATCTATTAAGTAAAGCTTTTCCAATTTTAAAGGTCTACGCCAAGGCACGATCACATTCGAAACATGTTAAAGACACCAGATTCCTACAGTCTAAAAACCTTGAGCGACTGTCGAAAACTAGCTACTATTCAGCAATAAACGTACAGAACAATCTTATGCTTGCATTCCACTTCTACAAATCTCTAAATAAAGGTGAAGTTTGACTTCTACACCAGGGAGCTTAAGCAACAACGACGGTGACGGCTACGAAAACGTTATTGAATGAGTGAATTAGCGCTACTTCAAACTTTATTGGGCTTATTAAAAGTTCAGGAAAAGAAAAAGAAAGTTGTCTTGTGTTCACGTCCTCGACAAAACGTGAAATTAGGCACCTTCACGTTGTAGACGTGCGGGGACGGAAAAGAAATGGATAAAAAGGCGTGATGCACGTGGAAAGTTGTTGTTTCGCCAATCTAAGGGTATTGATTTTTCGCTGTTCTTGTTGCCGTCAACGTCGTCGTTGCTTAAACCCCCTAATGTAAAATAAGATGTAAGCCTCGATCATTTAGCTTCTTTTTAGCAAACGCCGTACACGCAAAGTGAAGCAGTGTTGCCTTGTCACTACATAGATGTTTCTACTCTTCCCTACAAAGGTACAAATTCGTACAAAGGTCAAGTTGCCTGTGCGCTGTGCAGCAAAATGTACGCCTCGTACTCTAGATTCCTAATATCGTCAATGCGATTCTTTCTTCAAAGAAGCTATTGTTCCTGACTGAAGGGCCGCGCAAAGCGTGATTGATAACGTAAAACATGTTATAACACTGCCCCACATTAAATACAGAACAACCATTCATAGCGTCTGTCAAGAAAGCTTTTCATACAGGGTGATTTCCACGGAATACTCATAAGACAACTAGACCACGGCATGAAACCAGTCGCGGTTTCGTTGAGAAGACAAGAGAGTATCATTTGAGATTTTAAGAATAAGCTTACAGACCACTTAAAAACAAAACACAGGCAGTAGCTCGTAAAGCAATGTAAAACATGCGGCACCCGTAATAAATCAATCGATCATTAAACAATAAAGTCATCCGATGGCAAGCTTGGGTCATGCTGTGTTCTGTTTTGAAGTAAACTTGAACAGAATAATAGCTTGTTCTGGTCCAGGTGTGTTGGTGTTAGAATAGTTGGGATGTTTTGCACATAAAATGTAACGCCCGACTCGAGGTCTTCCCATTACAATGCATTGCAGGATATGCACTTAAACTTTGCGAAGTCAATGGTTCTCGTCAAAGGGTTCCACAGTTCGTCTCAAGTCGGTGCATTTATAAGGTAGGAGGATCACTTGAGTGTACCTTAAGCTAAGAAAGTAATCGTCCATCCAGCTAAGTTGTAAGGTTAAGCAGAACTAAAGGAAGATTGCTTAGCGATGACATTAGGCTATCTCGCGATTCGCTCTTAGCTTCATACGTACTTTTAAAAGTACTTTAAAAAATTCAAGTAGCTCTTACAGGTAAGCAATCTAAAATCAAGGATAAACTGGCATCGGTAAGACTGAACTGACTCTTCTAATCATTGGTGTAGTCTTCCACTTAACTTCTGACCGAATTTAAGATGAGACAAGCCTTTCCTAGGTTTACAAGATCAGCGAAATCGATGTTAAATTGTCATTGCAAATCGTGGCCAGTGCTCTGTTTGGGCCTACCCGCAGAGAAATGTCCGCAGTGGAATGAAATCAGTGTAAACGAGGACACTACTAATTTGGAACGTCCAAAGACACTTTTGAAATTGTGGCAATTGGTTTTCAAGACATTTAAGACGTGAGCAGTTAATTTATGGTTCTTAGAAACCAAGAGCAGAGACTCGATTTTTTAATCGGTCATTTTTCGTTGAACCATGTTTTCGAAATAAATAATAACACAAAGATATAAAGAGTTGAGGGGCACCCTAAATCACGATAGTTTGCCCAGTTTCTAATGCACGAGTAAAGCAATTTACGCTGTGGTACAAGAACAAACATAGAGAAACTCTGAGCTGCAAAACTTACTCATGTTCACCTCCATTCACACTAAGAACTGGGATGTGCGAAACGCGAACAACGTAATCGGTCTGATTATGGCACATGTTTGTAAATTTTGTTCGTGGGGTACCGAGGTTATTTTAAATCGTTTCTAAGTTAGCAAGAGGAGGCATTACTTTACGTCACATTTAGCTGTTTTATCTAGCTGAAACAAACATGCAATAACTATAAATTACAAAAGTCAAATTCTAAAAATGTTAGTTGTAAAAGTTACACAAGACAGTTAGCTGCTTTGAAGACAATGCACCACTCGGGACGAAAAATTCCTGAGACAATTTGCTAAGGTTATTCAAATCCTGTGCATACTGCTCTACGAAAACCTGAGTAAGTGAATTTGTGCGGTCGTAGGAAGTCAAAGGGCGGAGATGAAATAATAAGAAGAAGGTTATATGGGCAGTTTTACGTTCGTCCTGATAAATGTCTATGCCCTTCACGAATTAAACCACACGAGTTTTTCTTACAGAATAATTATCACGATCATGGAAATAACTTCTAAAAATTCAGGCCTTGAACAGTACTTGTTTTCTACAATTTGGCGCTTAAGGAATCACAGTTTTCAAGGCTCTCGACAATTTTGCAGGCAAAATGCCGATGACTTATGATTCCATGGGAGGCTGCATTGTGATTAAACCAGGATCGATTTTTCGTTGTTTGTGGCTTTCTTCACAGCACGTTCCATACCTGAATGATCGATTACCTTTCTCCTTTAGATGACAGCTTTGTATGCTAAGAAACGTAAAACGACTTAAAGACAAAGAGATCTTAGGCTTAAAATACATACTATATAATCAAAGTTTGTTCAGGAGAACGGTTACCTCGATTTAATTAAAAGTATTTACCACGTAAATTAAAAAATAATTTGCAAGCAGTTTCATCGTTTCGAAGCATCGTCAAGTCTCCAAGTGAAACACTTAATTCAGCGAGTTTTACAAATCCTTAAAACCTCCTTTGAAAACGCAGGGGTCTATCATCATATACAATGACCGCGAAAAGCTGTTAAAATTATGAAAATAAATTTTTTGCATGGTATTACGTTGTTTAATTTCATAGATTTAGATTTTACCGACACGGTGCAAATTCTCAACGCTACAACGGCCGTGAACAAAGCGCCTTGGGGAGAAGTTTCCCTGGTTGGCTAAAAAGGAGCTTAAGCAACAACTACGGCGACAGCTACAAAAACGTTAATTAAAAAGTGAGGTCGCGCTACTTCAAACTTCATCGCGCTTATTTCATCTTGTTCAATTCGTCAAATGTTGGCAATTTTTTCTGGAGTTGAATTCTAAAAGACTTTATTGAAGGTCAGCAAAAGAAAAAGAAACTCGTTGTTTCGTTTTCACCGTCCTCCACAAAACGTGAAAATTGGCATTTTCACGTCGTAGTCGTGCAATGACGGCAAAGAAATGTACAAAAAAACGTGATACACGTGCAGAGTTGTTGTTTTGCCAATCTAAACCTATTCCTTTTGCCGTTCTTGTTGACGTCGCCATCGTCGTTGCTTAAGATCCCAAAGAGAATCAACAGAAACGGTCGACTCTGCTCTCGGCCTCAAGACAACTGACTCAGTAACATTTCCTCCTTTTTCACAATCAGCACATGTTAGTCCACGTTGTTAACCAAACATGTTCAACAGCTCAAGTGAGTAAAGGATCTAACAGTGTTTACCCTAAGAGCTTTAATGGGTTAAACTTTACTTGACTGTAACAAGAAGATGGTCCATGGCGAGGTATATTGAGATGTATACTCTCAAATGTCATTTGATCGAATTTTGCCAGCAATGAAACATAAAAGAATATTACTACAAGTTGTATTTTGAGTTTTTTTCTTCACTGGATTTATCGAGAAAAGTGTAAAAAATGATTTCAAACCATCAATAATATTACAATGTTTTCATTACACAGCTTGATTTACACAATATGTGTCAACAGTTGTGATTAAGAGAGACAACTTGGTGTGGTGAATTAGCTCCAAAACAAACTTCGATGATTTTTTAAAGATGTCCTACCTATAAGCATAACTTTACTTAAAAAAAAGGAAAAAAAAAATTAAATGAGGTTAGCTTGAAACATTTAGCTCATTTTATCGCCGAAAATACTGACTGCCAAAATACATTATAGGCACTCCGGACGACCCCAAAAAGTGTGAACTAATAGAATGAATACATCTCAAATGGAGTTACGAATACCTAGTATTATGATACATGCAACTGTTTATTTTATTTAAGAGGACAGAAAATGTCAAAACAGTCCGCCGGCGCTTTTGAAGAAAAAGGAAAAGTGCGGATCGTCTGCTTAAATGAACGGACTCATGGCCTTCCCTTTTGCCGAAGACTGAATTTAGTAAGGTCCAAACACATTTCGTCGAACCTACAACAAAGAGTGGCGTGAGCTATTGAGACAACAAGAAATTATGAGGTTAAGCAGTCAACACTCTGTGATTTTACTGGAGTTTATGTCAGATAACCATATCGTTTTCATAGCATACCAGCTTTTGGTAATAGTTAAGTAACTCTGAACAAGAAAAAGCACTACCTTATTATAATGTAATTTTCAGTTTTTTTTTGTAGAATTTTGTTACAATTCTGCCGCGACACTCAATTCGCCTCTTACAGGAGTTTCCGAGTTAAACTGGAGGGAGTATCGACAAGAGTCGTTTTAACAATGCTCTTATTCAATAATTTTATTTAATTTGAAACGGTATAACGGACAAACATTAAAATTAAAACAATTCAAAATTAACCGTAAGGTGCATCTAAATGAAGAGAATAAGACATTGTCGTAGAACGAAAAATATAATAGCCACTTTTTAAACATTTTCCAAGAGTAAATATCGCTATATAAAGACTAAGTGAATTTACTTTACCTTACGAAATTTTCCTACAAATAAAAAGACATTTCGCGCAACGAGTATTTCTCGCTTTCTCAACTTGACAAACACTTAATGGCGAAGGGTTTGTCTAAAACTGTTGGCTATTCACCAAACGATAGATTCACTTTTGCTTGCAAAAGGTGCGTGCTTTCATTGGAACGTGCCACAAGAAAACAAGACAACTATAATAAAACAAGATTTTTGTATTATTGGGGGAGCAAGACTGTCGAGTGAACATAAAAGTGAAGTTACATAGGGACGACTTTTAAATATCGTCAATTCCTACAAGAGGCTGGGCAATAATTTCATTTTCTCGGTAATTTTCCTCTTACTGCTATTCAAAGCGAACAAATTTAAAGAAAGCCTTTCGGGACTTAAAAGGCACCAGAGAAGGTTTTAAACGGATGAAATTTAGAAGGCCAAAGCAAAAATCATTCTGAGACGTTGTTTCTGCGGTAACACCCTTGGGTCACTTCAAAGACCTGAATATCTAGAGTAGAACCGCATCAAATACACCAGCAGCTCTGCAGGTGGAAAGTATTACCTCAAATTGTAGAATTGCCTTAAAAACAAAGCTTAGTGTTAAAGTACGCCTTGTTTCTAGTAGAGCGTTAGATCCAAACAAGATACAGGCATGTACGGTTCTTACACTTGAAACAAGAGCGAGAAATTCAACTCCTTGTGGTACGTTCGCCCAACTTCAATTATGGCATTTTATGAACGTGGCTATTTTTAATCGATAGCAACTTTGAAGGGAGGGATGGAAAAGCAGGCAATTTAACGCGGGAAAACCATGAAATACTTCAAACTTTTTGGCTTGAAGTAACATATTGATTGTTGAGGTTATAGGAGTTGTTTGTTACTCTTCCGGTGTAAGCAGGACATGTTAACGGTTGCTTTATGATAAAAAAAGTTTTTTTTGAAAACAGTTTCGTATACGCTTAAAAAATCTTCTTTACCGTAGCAGAATTATTCTAAAGTGTTGCTATTAATTTGTTGGTACTCAACATCGTCAGAGAGATAGATGAATTCTTTTATGCAAAAAAAAACAAACAAAAAAAAACAGCTTAATTAATAACTACGCAAACCACATTACAGCAAAAAAGTTATCACCTAAACAATTCGGTATTCTTGTAATTCTGATCGTAGAAGACGACTCTTACACTTGTATATTTCGCTAGGAGTTGCAGCTGTGCTCCGTTCTAAAAACAAGAGAAAACTCTCTTTCAATTCTACAACCAAACCCTGTGGGTAGTACTTTTTTTTATTTCAAACTCACGGATTGAAGACTGATACGGATGAAACTCCCTAAACGAAAGCTGTAAGAAACCCTTTGGAAAACGAACTACCTGTATACTTTCTTTTTTACCCTTAAAAACTAAAATGAATTAAAATAAATTTTTAGATTTTTTTTCTTCAATTTGCGCACTGCAGGGAGTAAAGACGTTAACAGCAAAGTCAAGGTGAATAACGGACAATTTCATTGAGATAAGCGCGGGAATATGAAGATAAATCACAAAGATAGCATTACAAACCCCTGCTCTTGTGGCAATCACAACCTTCACAAAGCCCCTTCCCCTGGTTAATACTGACAGGCTTTATCTACTGTGACACCCGTGTTTCTAAATCAAGTCTTTCTGCACAGTTATTTTATATGGTACATCTAGCTTGTTTTGGAACAGATTGTTTCGAAAATAGTTCATTGCACTATATCACAATCATTACAAATTGCGTTAGATATTAGAAATTACTGCTTAATAGCTTGTATTTGACCGTATTTCACGTTCCAAAGGCACCTGATCTGTCCAGTGCCGATCTAAAGTTATATATTAATACATACAAATAACGACGATAAACTTGTCTTTTGTACCTGGTTGAAAGTGTGTCTTCTTGAAGAGTTCAGATGAAAGTTTCAATATAGTGCATGTGAAAATAGGGAATTATAGCCCATGAAAGGTTGTGAAGAAAGCACTTGGGCGAGGTTTCGCCAAAATGCTGCAAAAATACATCCTGAACGACGTCAGTGGCGTACTTGATAAAAGCTCCTGAGGAAAACTGCCATAGAGGCCAATGTGATACCTTAAACTCATTTGTTCTGAAGGTAGGAAGCTTCAAGTTGTACTGTTTTATCAAATTATTGGAACATTAATTTGAATCTTTTCCCAAATGTACACAAAATAGCAAGATGTAAACATGTCTTTCAAGTTGCTACTATTTGTTTTAAGTAACCCAAACACCTTTCATGCCGCACTGGGTGCGAAATTGCAGAAGCATATGCTTCAAAAAATCAATGTGTTTGAATGGAAAACTACCTAAGGGAGCATATTGATTTCTATCTTTGGTCTAAGATTTTTAGAAAATTCTTCTGTACTTTGACAAGGCAATTTACCCTGTTGTAACTGCAGATATACTAGGATGCGCTGAGCCTCCACTGTTCTCCTGAATTGCGATAAATTGTCAACTACAAATATTTGACTTTCGACTAATTGCAGGACAGAAATCATCGCAGTAGCGTTTGCTTGGATTGACTTGTTTGGAAAAAGCTGCCATGCCTTTGCCTGGACTATTTTCATCTCAAAGCTCAGTGCCATCTAAACTCTTCAGTTTATAATCTTCAATTTACATGGTACATTAGGGGCTGTAAAATGATTGTTCGTGATAAAACTAAACAAAAACAGATCGAGCAAAGGTTAAGTACAACATGATGATATAGTTACTCAGAGCATAGACATACATATATGGTACGTGATCAGTGTTCACCTACAGAAACTACCTCTTTTCCTTAAGCTTGCATTGTCGTTAATTTTAGTAATATTAAATATGCCTCCCCAATATATATTCATCGGTAAATAATTCTTTCTATCCCGTTTTATCCTGAAGAAGTTGGTCATTTTAACTTCCCCACCTACATTGTACGTTCTATAATAGCGTGGGGCCAGCTGTATTCGGTATTAAACCAACCATCCTGATCAGGAATGTTTTGCTTTGTTAATGTGGGAGACAGAAAAACGCCCAAAGAGTAATGAGATACAGTCAAAAGCCGTTTATACGGACACTGAGGGGGTCATACAAAGTGTTTGTATCAACGGGGTGTCCGTATTAAGCGGGTGTTCGTAAAGCAGGGCTTGACTGTGTAAGTGAAGGTGTACGTACCGGCGTGTACGTAGCGCCGCAATGCAGGCAGCAATGAGCTATTTGTGTTAGGTAGATGTAGATTAAGTGGGTAATGATCCTCAAAATCGGAGTATTTTTCAGCAGTAAGTTTTCTAAAGGTACGATAGAATTGGCAACAAAAAGCATGCAACTTGTCTTGCAAGAGTTGAATAGCGATATTGCGAGTTTTACCAACCACATCAAACCTGTCCTCTAACAAATAAAGATTTTAACAGCTTTGAAAGAGGGAAGTAACACGCGCAACTTAGCCTTTTAACTCGTTTTGCAGCAATGTAAGTTGAAAACAAAGTGCACGTTTTGGTTGTCTGTATTACCGACGCTTTAGTGTCATGTTGAGTTGATCCGCAAGCGTCAAAAATTTCATCGCCAAAACGGCTGCTTGTAATGTGAAAATGCCGCCTTCCGAAACCTAGACTATTCTCCAAAAACTACTAGAACGAAACACATCAGACAATTCTCATGCAGAATAAACGGTTAATATTCCCACCGTATGGTAGACTTCGTCGTTAAATCGCATTTACGTTGCGGTAGCGTAACTACGACATTTGTAAAGGCAGTCAGAATTAATATTCTAATTTGAACATCTTGTTTTGATAACACTTAGCAAAATAACACGGTCAAGAAGACAGACTTGTCAAAACACTGTTTATTTGGAATTTGCGTGTATTATTGTGATTGATCAACTGCATACAGGTCAACATCGGGCTTCCGCGGATATATTCTCAATGTAAATATTATGACAGGGAGTATAATCTACACCAGCGATGTCAACTGAAGAGGTAAACAGACAATCAAAATGGCTAGATTAATCGGCCATTAAACCAAAAACCTAGTAATTTTGAATTAGCAAAAAGTACAATTCATCCGCACCGGACGCAGAACCCCTTAACTGGAACGAGATTGTTTACATAGAGAAATATAAACAAAGTTACTCCGGGCAAAATATTTTGGGTAGTTTTGAAAATGAGTGAATTGGCGCTTGAATGTCATTTCTTTATTACAGCATTTAACGTAATAGGTGTTTGTCCGGGTCAACATGCGTTTCGGTTAGTACTAACGCTTCAGTGAGTAGGTAAACGAAGCCAAGAAGCAGTGAAGAGGTTTAAGGAGTAAAGGCTTTAAACCTTAAAATCTACTTACATGCAACAGCTTATGTGGTAATGAGGGATCTTAGACTTTCATTTATTAAAAACGTTGACTAATACATCATCTTTCTTAGGAAAGCTTCGCGTAAAAATACTGACGACAAAACATAGTAGGAGTTGCGCTGTCCGACGTTACTAAGAATTCTGCAAGGTCTAGCGAAATAATATATTTTAAAACTCGGATGAACAATTACATAAATTTGGGGACACGAGGGAAGAGCAGAATTGAAGAAACACCCCGTTGAAATTTCTTTCAGCATGAAGCAATTTGCCGTTGCTAATATCTTAAAGATATGTTTAATCTCTAGTGAAAAAGACAGATAAGGATGAAAAATTCCACAGAGCTAAACGTATCTGACAGTAAAGAAATCCAGAGTTTCGCATGCTGCAATGGGCAAATTCGCATAATCATCATTCTGAAACACCCGAGTAAACCAGAGTGCCGAAATAATGTCTGATGAAATTTAGCGCTAAGATATTTTTATATTTCATCCTAAAGGGAAGTTATATTGCCTCGTCAACTTTTTAACACCCGCAGGGAAGGGCTTTCCCGTAACGGACATTGATACCACTTATGCATTTGTAAACAGGTATGTGCTGTGATGATGACTCGCTTCGCCGGCGGCAAAGTTTTGTAATTTTCGTTGCAGTGTATACCTTTAGAAATACTTTGTGGGGTGCCATGAAAAAACTAATTAGTGTACCGCTTGAAAGAAAGGCGACGCAAATAACCTTGGGAACAGCTACATGGTTGAATTTGCCAACGTTTTCAATTCGTCGAGCTGAGCTATTTTAAAACTTTCTCCGCAGGCAACCGTCTTTAAAATTGCAGTGTTTGAATTCATCTTTGTCTAAAAATTATTTAAATCTGACCTGACACACCGAGAGACAGACCACAAGAAACGGCGCCAATTNGAAATTTAGCGCTAAGATATTTTTATATTTCATCCTAAAGGGAAGTTATATTGCCTCGTCAACTTTTTAACACCCGCAGGGAAGGGCTTTCCCGTAACGGACATTGATACCACTTATGCATTTGTAAACAGGTATGTGCTGTGATGATGACTCGCTTCGCCGGCGGCAAAGTTTTGTAATTTTCGTTGCAGTGTATACCTTTAGAAATACTTTGTGGGGTGCCATGAAAAAACTAATTAGTGTACCGCTTGAAAGAAAGGCGACGCAAATAACCTTGGGAACAGCTACATGGTTGAATTTGCCAATGTTTTCAATTCGTCGAGCTGAGCTATTTTAAAACTTTCTCCGCGGGCAACCGTCTTTAAAATTGCAGTGTTTGAATTCATCTTTGTCTAAAAATTATTTAAATCTGACCTGACACACCGAGAGACAGACCACAAGAAACGGCGCCAATTCTTGCGGTATCTTAGAGGGAACAAACCAGCTTCGGTTGGGGTTCAATTATAGATGGAAAACTGAGACGCTACCTGTCGCTTTTAAGATGTAATAAAGGAATAAACGAGAGAGATAGAGAAAGAGAAAAAAAGTCCTTTTTCCGATAATTACGACATCATAAGAAATGCAGAGAGAATAGGGCCTTATGGCACATCGCAAATGTGTTTGTTTTCTTATTATAATTTGAGGTTTGCCGCGATAGTAATTGACGCACACTAATGGAATAATCCTTGTATCTGAGGATCTTGCAACTTTCGTTAAAGACAAAATAAGAGTGTTGCTACATGTGCCCATCTCCCATACGATGTTTGGTCTATAGAGCGTTGCCTTGGGGCGAGAAGGCACAAAACAAACATTCCCTTTGCTAGTTCGCTGAATGGCGTCTCGGTTTGCTATGTAATGTAGAACAAACGTACAAATCTACACCTCGATTTAACAACATTAAAGGCGAAAAAAGTGAGTTTGTAGGTAAAACAAACTACGTAAGAGGTCCACGAATTGATATCATCTGTTAATTTGCACCTTAAGATTAAGATTCTGGAAACTTGAGGACATTCATAATTAAAAATAGGCTCCGCGCCGGAAACTTCTAAAGATCTTTTCAATACCAGTCGTACTAAATTTAATTGTGTCATACAGTTTGTCAATGAAGCATAGCAGGGTGTCTGGGGGGCAGAGGGAAGGATGAGTGCCAGAAATACAATACCGCCAACCCAGGGTTGCTCTAGCTAATATTAAACAAAAGTAGGAAATACCTGAAACGGTTGTAATAAATAAAATAAGGATAACCTTGTAGCTTCTTAGGGCAAGTTCAATCAAACCTTGCCAGTATGTCCCCTTTTATGCGAAAACAATTATTGAATCTTAGGCTTTCATATGACGCGGTAAAGAAATGTATTCAGTGGACGATTTCAAACACAGTAGGGGGTCCTGGGAAATGTCTTGTCCTTTACGATCGATTGCACCATGTATAACTTTACACGAAATAAGTAATACTGCAACACTAGGGTTTATTAAGAATTGCTAGTACCACAAATAAAATAAAGCTATAAGCTAAAATAAAGAAATCTCTAAATCTGAGGTGTCTTAAAGTTACGCGAGAGGCAAAGCTGTAGCAATAGGCAGCCCCAGATGATTGTAAAGTAAAGGCAAATTAAAATTTTCAATGAGGATTTTGACTAAAAAGGTTTCTCTTTGTGCAGCAATTCTGCAACACTAATGTATATTAACGATTACTAGTACCATGAATAAACAGAAAACTAAGTAAAAATAAAACCCGACCTAAGTCCTTTTATTCCATTTTTTTGATGGAAAAATGATGTCTTCAATTTTCGCGGGAGATAAAGGTGTAATAGGCATGCAGTCCCAAATGCTAATTGAATATATAAAGTAACGGCAAATTGAAATCTACACTCAACGAAAGGTTTCTCCTTCCTGCATAGCAGAGCAAGTAACAATAGAGCTCAATTCCACAGAATTTCTTTGTGAAACCGACATGACCGCCGTTTCAGTGTTTTGAGACACCAATATGGGACAACGTGGGACACCAACAAGGGACGTGACGTCATGTGGAAAGGCTCTATAAAATCAACGATATATATAACAAATCCAAGAATCTAGAAAGCGCTCTCACCAAACAATCTGCAAATTCTTGTAATCTGAACGACAACGGCAAAAGCCAAAGTTTAGCATCTTCCTCATTAATGGAAACTGTTGTTATTGTTTCATCTTGGAAAAAAAGGAAAGCCTCTACAAACGGCCACCTCCCTACAAAGGCCAATTGTTTTGCGGACAGTCCATACATTGACTGTTCTCTAAATCTTTCTACAATGGCCACTTTCTTCTGTCCCCAAGGTGGCCGTCGTAAAGAGGTTCAACTGTGCTACCGTAATGTTTTTTTTCTTTTCTTCTGATTAGCGTAACAGGTTAGAAGAGTTGAAGGATGGCGCGCTACAAAGACACACCAGAGTGAAGACAACAGAAGACAGTTGTCCAATACCCACTTCACACTGTACTGCTCGGGAGAGCTCAGGAGAAGTTTATTCATTAATGCCCAGGAGAAACTGATCAAACTTTCTGTTTTGTTAACTTCTAGTGAAAAGGGTATCATAACTTATAAATGAAATAGATTGCAGAAGCATATGCTTCAAAAAATCAATGTGTTTGAATGGAAAACTACCTAAGGGAGCATATTGATTTCTATCTTTGGTCTAAGATTTTTAGAAAATTCTTCTGTACTTTGACAAGGCAATTTACCCTGGTGTAACTGCAGATATACTAGGATGCGCTGAGCCTCCACTGTTCTCCTGAATTGCGATAAATTGTCAACTACAAATATTTGACTTTCGACTAATTGCAGGACAGAAATCACCGCAGTAGCGTTTGCTTGGATTGACTTGTTTGGAAAAAGCTGCCATGCCTTTGCCTGGACTATTTTCATCTCAAAGCTCAGTGCCAACTAAACTCTTCAGTTTATAATCTTCAATTTACATGATACATTAGGGGCTGTAAAATGATTGTTCGTGATAAAACTAAACAAAAACAGATCGAGCAAAGGTTAAGTGCAACATGATGATATAGTTACTCAGAGCATAGACATACATATATGGTACGTGATCAGTGTTCACCTACAGAAACTACCTCTTTTGCCTTAAGCTTGCATTGTCGTTAATTTTAGTAATATGCAACTTGTCTTGCAAGAGTTGAATAGCGATATTGCGAGTTTTACCAACCACATCAAACCTGTCCTCTAACAAATAAAGATTTTAACAGCTTTGAAAGAGGGAAGTAACACGCGTAACTTGGCCTTTTAACTCGTTTTGCAGCAATGTTGAAAACAAAGTGCACGTTTTGGTTGTCTGTATTACCGACGCTTTAGTGTCATGTTGAGTTGATCCGCAAGCGTCAAAAATTTCATCGCCAAAACGGCTGCTTGTAATGTCGTAATGGGGCGATTATTGTGGGAAAAAATGCCGCCTTCCGAAACCTAGACTATTCTCCAAAAACTACTAGAGCGAAACACACCAGACAATTCTCATGCAGAATAAACGGTTAATATTTCCACCGTATGGTAGACTTCGTCACTAAATCGCATTTACGTTGCGGTAGCGTAACTACGACATTTGTAAAGGCAGTCAGAATTAATATTCCAATTTGAACATCTTGTTTTGATAACACTTAGCAAAATAACACGGTCAAGAAGACAGACTTGTCAAAACACTGTTTATTTGGAATTTGCGTGTATTATTGTGATTGATCAACTGCACACAGGTCAACATCGGGCTTCCGCGGATATAATGTAAATGTAAATATTATGACAGGGAGTATAATCTACACAAGCGATGTAAACTGAAGAGGTAAACAGACAATCAAAATGGCTTAGATTAATCGGCCATTAAACCAAAAACCTAGTAATTTTGAATTAGCAAAAAGTACAATTCATCCGAACCGGACGCAGAATCCCTTTACTGGAACGAGATTGTTTTCATAGAGAAATATAAACAAAGTTACTCCGGACAAAATATTTTGGTTAGTTTTGAAAATGAGTGAATTGGCGCTTGAATGTCATTTCTTTATTACAGCATTTAACGTAATAGGTGTTTGTCCGGGTCAACATGCTTCTCGGTTAGTACTAACGCTTCAGTGAGTAGGTAAACGAAGCCAAGAAGCAGTGAAGAGGTTTAAGGAGTACAGGCTTTAAACCTTAAAATCTACTTACATGCAACACCTTATGTCGTAATGAGGGATCTTAGACTTTCATTTATTAAAAACGTTGACTAATACATCATCTTTCTTAGGAAAGCTTCGCGTAAAAATACTGACGACAAAACATAGTAGCAGTTGCGCTGTCCGACGTTACTAACGATTATGCAAGGTCTAGCGAAATAATATATTTTAAAACTCGGTTGAACAATTACATAAATTTGGGGACACGAGGGAAGAGCAGAATTGAAGAAACCACGTTGAAATTTCTTTCAGCATGAAGCACTTTGCCGTTGCTAATATCTTAAAGATATGTTTAATCTCTAGTGAAAAAGACAGACAAGGAGAAAAATTCTACAGAGCTAAACGAATCTGACAATAAAGAAATCCAGAGTTTCGCATGCTGCAATGCGCAAATTCGCATAATCATCATTCTGAAACACCCGAGTAAACCAGAGTGCCGAAATAATGTCTGAGAAATTTAGCGCTAAGATATTTTTATATTTCATCCTAAAGGGAAGTTATATTGCCTCGTCAACTTTTTAACACCCGCAGGGAAGGGCTTTCCCGTAACGGACATTGATACCACTTATGCATTTGTAAACAGGTATGTGCTGTGATGATGACTCGCTTCGCCGGCGGCAAAGTTTTGTAATTTTCGTTGCAGTGTATACCTTTAGAAATACTTTGTGGGGTGCCATGAAAAAACTAATTAGTGTACCGCTTGAAAGAAAGGCGACGCAAATAACCTTGGGAACAGCTACATGGTTGAATTTGCCAATGTTTTCAATTCGTCGAGCTGAGCTATTTTAAAACTTTCTCCGCGGGCAACCGTCTTTAAAATTGCAGTGTTTGAATTCATCTTTGTCTAAAAATTATTTAAATCTGACCTGACACACCGAGAGACAGACCACAAGAAACGGCGCCAATTCTTGCGGTATCTTAGAGGGAACAAACCAGCTTCGGTTGGGGTTCAATTATAGATGGAAAACTGAGACGCTACCTGTCGCTTTTAAGATGTAATAAAGGAATAAACGAGAGAGATAGAGAAAGAGAAAAAAAGTCCTTTTTCCGATAATTACGACATCATAAGAAATGCAGAGAGAATAGGGCCTTATGGCACATCGCAAATGTGTTTGTTTTCTTATTATAATTTGAGGTTTGCCGCGATAGTAATTGACGCACACTAATGGAATAATCCTTGTATCTGAGGATCTTGCAACTTTCGTTAAAGACAAAATAAGAGTGTTACTACATGTGCCCATCTCCCATACGATGTTTGGTCTATAGAGCGTTGCCTTGGGGCGAGAAGGCACAAAACAAACATTCCCTTTGCTAGTTCGCTGAATGGCGTCTCGGTTTGCTATGTAATGTAGAACAAACGTACAAATCTACACCTCGATTTAACAACATTAAAGGCGAAAAAAGTGAGTTTGTAGGTAAAACAAACTACGTAAGAGGTCCACGAATTGATATCATCTGTTAATTTGCACCTTAAGATTAAGATTCTGGAAACTTGAGGACATTCATAATTAAAAATAGGCTCCGCGCCGGAAACTTCTAAAGATCTTTTCAATACCAGTCGTACTAAATTTAATTGTGTCATACAGTTTGTCAATGAAGCATAGCAGGGTGTCTGGGGGGCAGAGGGAAGGATGAGTGCCAGAAATACAATACCGCCAACCCAGGGTTGCTCTAGCTAATATTAAACAAAAGTAGGAAATACCTGAAACGGTTGTAATAAATAAAATAAGGATAACCTTGTAGCTTCTTAGGGCAAGTTCAATCAAACCTTGCCAGTATGTCCCCTTTTATGCGAAAACAATTATTGAATCTTAGGCTTTCATATGACGCGGTAAAGAAATGTATTCAGTGGACGATTTCAAACACAGTAGGGGGTCCTGGGAAATGTCTTGTCCTTTACGATCGATTGCACCATGTATAACTTTACACGAAATAAGTAATACTGCAACACTAGGGTTTATTAAGAATTGCTAGTACCACAAATAAAATAAAGCTATAAGCTAAAATAAAGAAATCTCTAAATCTGAGGTGTCTTAAAGTTACGCGAGAGGCAAAGCTGTAGCAATAGGCAGCCCCAGATGATTGTAAAGTAAAGGCAAATTAAAATTTTCAATGAGGATTTTGACTAAAAAGGTTTCTCTTTGTGCAGCAATTCTGCAACACTAATGTATATTAACGATTACTAGTACCATGAATAAACAGAAAACTAAGTAAAAATAAAACCCGACCTAAGTCCTTTTATTCCATTTTTTTGATGGAAAAATGATGTCTTCAATTTTCGCGGGAGATAAAGGTGTAATAGGCATGCAGTCCCAAATGCTAATTGAATATATAAAGTAACGGCAAATTGAAATCTACACTCAACGAAAGGTTTCTCCTTCCTGCATAGCAGAGCAAGTAACAATAGAGCTCAATTCCACAGAATTTCTTTGTGAAACCGACATGACCGCCGTTTCAGTGTTTTGAGACACCAATATGGGACAACGTGGGACACCAACAAGGGACGTGACGTCATGTGGAAAGGCTCTATAAAATCAACGATATATATAACAAATCCAAGAATCTAGAAAGCGCTCTCACCAAACAATCTGCAAATTCTTGTAATCTGAACGACAACGGCAAAAGCCAAAGTTTAGCATCTTCCTCATTAATGGAAACTGTTGTTATTGTTTCATCTTGGAAAAAAAGGAAAGCCTCTACAAACGGCCACCTCCCTACAAAGGCCAATTGTTTTGCGGACAGTCCATACATTGACTGTTCTCTAAATCTTTCTACAATGGCCACTTTCTTCTGTCCCCAAGGTGGCCGTCGTAAAGAGGTTCAACTGTGCTACCGTAATGTTTTTTTTCTTTTCTTCTGATTAGCGTAACAGGTTAGAAGAGTTGAAGGATGGCGCGCTACAAAGACACACCAGAGTGAAGACAACAGAAGACAGTTGTCCAATACCCACTTCACACTGTACTGCTCGGGAGAGCTCAGGAGAAGTTTATTCATTAATGCCCAGGAGAAACTGATCAAACTTTCTGTTTTGTTAACTTCTAGTGAAAAGGGTATCATAACTTATAAATGAAATAGCGACATTGAATCTACTCTCAGCGCGTTAGAATTTTGAAGAAAAACGTAGGCAAAAAGAAAAGACACCAACAACTTGTGATTACATGACGTTGTGCCAAGGGTTCGATTTAGGGAAGGAGTAATGGACGCGCCCTATCAAGAGGGGAATAGGGGAAGGGATCAAACTGCCCCCTTCTCGAATCTCGCTTTCTGCATAATCGTATGGGTACAGTACAATACTTAGATGCAGTCTCACTAAAAATGGCCTATTTTGACATTGAATCGAATAAAAATAATAATAATAATAATAATAATAATAATAATAATAATAATAATAATAATAATAACAATAATAATATCAATAAAAATAAATTTTATCATTATTGCTGTTATCTTATTCTTAATTCTCGTAAAAAGCAATCAGTCAGCCCGACAGTATTATTCTCCACTTTATAGCGCATATTTATTCTATTGAGAATAGCACAAATGAGTCGAGAAGGGATTATTAAGCTCTGGTGGGCACGTGCATTTCTTTAACGTCCACCGCACAACTACGAAGTGAAACCTCCCAATGCGACATTTTGTCATGTTTTTTGGAGGACAGGAACATACGACGACGAATTTTCCTTTTTCTTTTTGAACCTGCATAAAGTCGTTAAAATTCCAAGACCAACATCCGTGAATTAAATCCTTTAATAAAAGTGAGAATCCCTGGTAAGCTGACAGAAAACTTTCGAAGCACATGACATATGATCTGATCTGAGAGAGAGATCTGTCTTGGACTGAGTTAAAAAGCATTTTTCTAAAAATCCATTATTGAGACGTGTCAATCAAAAACTACTTCTGGATGAAATCCTATAGGAAACACCTGCCTGAGACTAATCTAATTTAAGAGCTCGCATGTTTTGATTCTACAGGCGATGTTTTCACTGCCGTCGTGGTTGTCTTTGCTTAAGCTCCCTAGTGATGTAAACAACGTGGACGTGGCACCTGCTGTTGTGATGAGGTTTAAGGTTAGGAGTGGAGTGCTACAGAAAACAACACTATTAGGAACAGCCACGATTCTGAGGAGGGTGCTTTTCCCTAAGGAACCCCTGGTCATTTGTTATGATTCGCTCCCTTAGGATGTATGTCGGCATGCGAACAGCAAGAGTGAGCTCAGGGCTCGACGACAACAATAATGATAGACTAAGCTTTAAATATCCTGGCCTCGAAAGAAAAGGATACGAGAGAGAAGAAAATAAAGCAATGGGCCGAGAAAACGGCTAACCTTTCGCGACGCCTCACTGGTTTCCCCGCGAAATGACGTATGAGAAACGAGCGCAGAAATTCCAAACTGATGACGCATCACTGCCCAGATCTGTGTAGTGCTTCTGGTTAGTCGTGCCGAAAGGGAAATTTGTAAATTGTAATTGTAAATATCTTATTATCCACTCCCCTCGGGCTTTTCAGGGATAATTTACAACACTGGTTGAGGGACTTTGCCAGACTGCTTAGGTGCATTTTACAAGTAATGAAGGAATGAGTAATGATGCCCCCATACATGAGTGTGAAAGTGAGATAGGCCACTACACCGGGCACTACGTGCCCTACTCTTTACGAAGAGTGTGTGGGTTCTTTAACGTCCCACAGATTTATTACATGTGCAAGGGCTTGTGAGACAGGGCCTACGGTTTATCGTCCTTATCCGAGAAGACTACAATCCTGGACAAAAGTCCTTGGGACACTACTGCAATATTGTAGGGGTTTACGAGCAACTCGCTCGCTGAGCGTAGAGGTACCAGGTATCTGAGTTTACATCTTGTTGTTCTTTAATCTTTACAGCAGCTCATATGTCTTGTTTACAGCATCACTTAACGAATTCTGCTAGACAACTAACTGTAACTAATCTCAACTACTCTCTCCTACTTGTGCTAAACACTGGCAACTTATATCAGTAAAACGTAGGTACGTTTAGGCTTGCTGACCATGAGAAATACAAACGCTTTTCCGAGTGACTTAAACGAATTTCCTGTTGATAACCAAAGTGGAATAAACAAACCCATAAGAAAATTAATGAAAGCGTGACAGCTAAACCCACGAGACTCTACCTTAAACCAATACAGGAACTCTGACGAAGGTAACAATCAAGGTCAGTAATGTTCCCAAAACGTACCCACTTAAAAACTGACAATCAAACTTAATTAAACCCCAAGCTTGATGACACTTCGGTCGACAAACCCATTAAAAAGATAATAACACTCAAAAACCTGTTAACACATATACTGATTAACCTTGATCTATAAACTGATCATAACAAGACTCTAGTCACGAGTGAAACGTCAAGCACAAACACGAAATAAACTTAACATAACCTTCAAAATACTTCACAACAATATGCATATTTCTCTGTCATTTCACCGTTCCCTCTTAAAACAGTGCATCATTTTCGAAATTTTCTTGCACTTCTCCCTCCCCCCACCCTATACAAAGTTGAAACTCGGGGAAAAATTCCGCATACACGCGTCCAACGTTGTTTGTGGGGTGAGGGGAGGGGTTGGACCTGTGTGAATTGGAAAACGCCCCAGAAACGCAAAAGTGTCCCAGGACTTTTGTCCATGTTTTTAGAAAGTCTAACCGTTTGCAGATGTTATTACAAAGGCAGCACTTTCTCCTCAGTTATATAAAGACCCTGAGTGTTGGTCCGGCCGGGGTTTGAACCCGCGACCTCTCGCTCAGCCGACCGCCGCTTATCCCATTGACCTAACCGGGCGGCGGTTTTGATCCAGCCAATCATAAGTACTACCCAGATCTGGGTAGTGACGAGTCGTCAGTATGGAATTTCTGCGCTCGTTTCTCAGACGTCATTTCGCGGGCAACCAGTGATGGCATCGCGAAATGTCGGCTGTTTTCGGAGGCTAATAAAGCAAATTTCTAACACTAACTTGGAGAAGGAACGCCTCTGGTTGTTTAATAGGTGGGTAACGCTATCCCTCGGATGAGGTAAATGCCATCCAATGGATAGCGCGATCCTTTCATGTAACTCTGATCTGTTAGAGAGTGATTTATTAAGTGCAGACCGCTATCCACCTTTTGAAAAACACGATGATCACCACCAAGGTTCGTGCAACTTCAGACAAACAGATTTCAAGGACTTTTCGCGGATTTTTCAAGGACAAATTACAGTTTTCAAGGACTAAGATTCATGTAATAAATCGGCATTCTTTAACCCCCTTTTGATCACACAGTTGGCTAAAACACGTCATTGAGTCATTTACGATTTTTACTTCTTCGGCCATCGTTGATCACATTATTTTATACTCTTTTCCACAACAACACTTTGCAAAATGACTGGGTATGACTTACAATTGCATCTGAGGTACAGAATACCATTTGGAACAAAGAAACAGAAATGAAATATTGTTCATGCACACGTCACTCGTAAGTTTTAGAGGTTCTTACACAGAGAATGAGCCAAATTTTCCTTGGCGTAGTCAAGGTAGTGAATTTCAAGGACGTCCCAAGACCTAATAAAGAAATCAAGTACTTTTCAAGGACCTCAACTGATTCCAAGGACTTTTCACGACGACTAGTAAAATTCAAGACCTTTTCAAGATTGTACGAACCATGCGCCACAAAGAAAGCATAGAAAAAACTCACGCTAGCAGTATGCAGGGAGTGTGTCACAGGTGAGCTCATATTTAGTAAACTGATGACCTCGCCAGCCCAGTTGTAGTCACAGCCCTTACACGCGACTCTAAACAAACTCTGTCTCCAACTGAAACCGGCGAATAAAAGTAAAGCAGTACTGAAAGATAATAATCGACAAATACAAAGGCAAGATAAATAACTTTTAAGACTGAAGGAAGGCAAGGGTTCAAGACGGAAGAAATGGGGTCATGCTTCTTCACATTGCAAATGATTCTCGCGGCAGAGTTTTGAACGTATTGTAACTTACAAACAATGCATACAAAAGTAGATGACCACACTGTCAATCATTAATAGCAAACCCCCACTGAAAACAAATCTATTTCGGACAATTTGGGACATACAAGCGAATGACACTGGATAGTAGAGATGTGATTGTCAATGGATGTGGAATCAAATTCTTTGACTGACTGAGCTAAAATGACCCCCTTTGCGAACAGAGACAATTTCAAATATAGTTTTTTAGAAGACATTCTTTAGCTAACAAAGACCATCACGGCTTCGTCTTATCAGTATTAGGCATAAAAACAATCGATAAGTTATAGAAACACCAGTTACGCATCCGTAAATCAAAGTTAACACTACAATATCATTTAAATGGCACTAAAAGGTTTTCCGGCAAAAGTCAAAGGAAACGCTGTTGCGGCTTCTCTGTAGGTCAAAAGATACAACGTGTTTAACAAGTGCCTACAATAAACCTACAATACGACAGGGCACTAGAATTATTTAGTATGAGCCACGGATTTTGTCTTGGCAAGATTGTCATCTATTCTTCAACAATACACAGCAGCAGTTTTTTTTTTTGGTTTTCAGTTAAATAAACGGCAATAACGCCAACTTCTATCCTTGGTTTCGCGTTAAAAAAGGGAAGAAAAATTTTGTTTCTATGGGTGACAAAAAATTAGGAAGAGATGCAAAATGGCCGGGTACGCTCCTCATGGTAAGTATTTAAAGCCTTACACAGAAGCTAGCTCTACGTAGGTGACATCTAAAGATTGCGATGAACAATAGAAAGACAACAACTGTATTTAGCCAACAGGGCAGTGTCCGATTACTCAACCGATTTCCTCCTTTGAAAAGATGAATGAAAGAAAAGGGAGAATACAATTTTCCCTAATCTCCTTCGCAATCTGAGAGTAGGAGCTAACCCTGTGCGACTGTCAGAAAAGAGAAAAAAGAGGACAAAGGGGGCCTCATACAGTGTAGGTGAAACGTTAACGTTGCAAGGAAGAATTGGCGCCTCGCTCTGTTGTGTGTCTCGCACCATCGCCACTCGTTCTTTTATCTTAGTACTGTTATTATAGTGGAACCTATTAAATAAGTATAAATAAGGAGAGAAGAGAACTACTGTCTTTAGCCAGCAGGGCAGTGTCCGACTACTCTACGTTTTCCTTTGAAGAGATGAAAGAAAGAAAAGGGAGTGAAGAATTTTTCCCTCATCTCCTACAAAAGTTAAGAGTAGGAGCTAACCCTGTATGTGGCTCCCAGACAAAATAGAAAGAAGAGACTAAGGTGGGCTCGTACTGTCCTTTCACTCGCAACACTTAAATGCTGAACTGTGGGTAGGTGGTGTTCAGTCAGCTGCATTCATTGGATGTATTTGAAGCCTCACTTAGAAGCTGGCACTGTTTAGCTGACATGTTAAGGTTGCAGGGAAGAATCATAGAAAAACAACTAGTCTTTAGCCAACAGTGTAGTATCCGACTACTTTCCTTTTTTTGGAGGGAAGGGAGAAAAAAAAAATATCTTTCTTCAAAAGCTTACAGTAGGAGCTAACCCTGTGTATGGTTTCAGACAAGAAAGAAAGAAGAGAATAATGGTTGGCTCATAGTTGCCTTGTATGCGTTACACTAAAATTGTGAACTGTTTGTAGCTGTTGTTCAATCAGCTGCATTCATTGTATAGACGTACAGCCTAACTTAGAAGCTGGGACTTTGTAGATAACACTTTAAGTTTGCAAGGAAGAATCATAGAAAGAAAAGTACTGTCTTTAACCAACAGGGCAGTGTCCGACTACTCTCCTTTCTTGGAGGGAAGAAAGAAAGAAAAGGGAGTAAAGAATTTATCCTCATCTCTTTCAAAAGCTGGGAGTAGGAGCTAACCCTGTGTGTGGCTGTCAGAAAATAAGAAGCAGACAATAAATCAGCTGCATTCATTGTATATATTTAAAGCCTAACTTAGAAGCCGGCACTGTGCATCTAGCACGTTTTAGTTGCGAGGAAGAATAGAAAGAAAACAGCTGTATTTAGCCAACAGAGCAGTCTCCGATTACTCAACCGATTTCTTCCTTAGAAAAGATCAAATAAAGAAAAGGGAGAATAGAATTTTCCCTCATCTCCTCCCAAATGTGAGCGTAGGAGCTAACCCTGCGAATGGCAGAATAAAGGTGGGCTCATACAGTGTACGTCAGAAACGTTAATTTTGCGAGGAAGAATTGGCGCTTGTGACGCCTCGCTCTATTCTGTCCCGCACCATCGCCGCTCGTTCTTGTAATTTGTTCAAATGTATATTTTTTCTTAATATTGTAATCAAAGTGGAACCGATGAAATATATAGAAATAAGAATAGAAACAAAACTAATGTCTCCAGCCAGCAGGGCAGTGTCCGACTACTCTATGCTTTCCTTTGAAGAGATAAAAGAAGGAAAAGAGAGTAAAGAAGTTTTCCCTTCATCTCCTACAAAAGTTAAGAGTAGGAGCTAACCCTGTATAAGGCTCTCAGACAAAATAGAAAGAAGAAAATTAAATTGGGTTCATACTATCCTTTTACGCGCAACACTAAAATGTCGAACTGTGGGTAGTTGGTGTTTAGTCAGCTACATTTATTGGATGTATTTGAAGCGTCACTTAGAAGTTGGCACTGTGTAGCTGACATGTTAAGGTTGCGAGGAAGAATCACAGAAAGACAACCATTGTCTTTAGCCAAAAGGGCAGTGTCCGACTACTCTCCTTTTTTGGAGGGAAAAAAGATATAATCTTTCTCCATCTTCAAAAGCTGAGAGTAGGAGCTAACCCTGTGTTTGGCTTTCAGACAAAATAGAAAGAAGAGAATAATGCTCATACTGACATTGTGTGCGTTACACTGAAATACTGAACTGTGTGTTGCTGTTGTTCAATCAGCTGCATTCATGGTATATATTTAAAGGCTAACTTAGAAGCTGGGACTGTGAAGGTGACACTTTAAGATTGCAAAGAAGAATCATGAAAAGAAAATTACTGTCTTTAGCCGACAGGGCAGTGTCCGACTACTCTCCTATTTTGGAGGGAGAAAGAAAGAAAATGGAGTAAAGAATTTTCATTCATCTCCTTCAAAAGCCGGGATTAGGAGCTAACCCTATGTATGGCTGTCAGACAACTAAAAAGCAGAAAAAATAGGTGAAGTCTGACTGTCCTTGTATGCGCGACACTAAATTAATGAGCTGTGTGAGCTGGTGTTCAGTCAGCTACATTCATTGTACGTATTTATAGCCTAACTCACAAGCTAGCAATGTGTAGCTAGCACGTTTAAGTTGCCAGGAATAATAGAAAGAAAAAAAATCTGCTTAGCCAACTGGGCAGTGTCCAACTACTCTCCTTTTTGTGGAGGGAAGAAAGAAAAAAAAAGGGAGTAAAAAATTTGCCCTCATCTACTTCAAAAGCCGTGAGTAGGAGCTAACCCTGTGTATGGCTGCCAGGCAAATACGAGGCAGAAAAATAGGTGACGTCCTACTGTCCTTGTATGAGCAACACTAAAACGCTGAACTGTGTGTAGCTGGTTTTCTGTCAACTGCATTCATTGTATGTATTTATAGCCTAACTTAGAGGCTGGCACTGTGTAGCTGGCACGATTAAGTTGCGAGGAAGAGTAGAAAGAAAACAATTCTCTTTAGCTAACAGGGCAGTGTCCGACTACTCTCCTTTTTGGGGGAACGAAAGAAAGAAAAGGGAGTAAAGAATCTTCCCTCCTCTCCTTCAAAAGCCGGGAGTAGGAGCTAACCCTGTGTTTGGCTGTCAGACAAATAAGAAGCAGTAAAAATAGGTGACGTACGACTGCCCTTGTATGCGCGACACTAAAATAATGAGCCGTGTGTAGCTGGTGTTCATACAGCCGCATTCATCGTACGTATTTATAGCCTGAAAGATTTTACACATTTCTTTTTTCAAAGAGTCAGAGCAGGAGCCAACCCTGTGCGGGTCATGACATTTTAATGTTTAAAAAATGACCTCAGCCAACAAGGTGGTGTCCAACTGCTCATAACATTTTGTAGATGTGAAGTGAGAGTAGAGGAAAAACTACGCAACATTCTTTGATTACAGGCTCAGGTCCATAATGAAAAGGCCATAGAATAAATAACTGATTAACCTCGTCCGTTTGGTCATTACAACTATAGCGTGATCCGCATCAGTAGACGTGATCCGAGATCACTCGGATCAAAATACATCAAAGGACCCGATGAAACTTTAAATAAGTGGATTTGTCGGTTCCTTTGATGTAGTATGATCCGAGAGATTTCAGATCACTGTTCCTGATCAAGATCATCCCAACGCAACACACCAATAGATACGTACCTGCAAATAGATCTTAAACTAAAAAAGTAAAACCAGCCAGCCACGTATTACCCATGCCGTCTCATCCTGGGCAAGCTGTTATGATCTGCGTTTGGTTCTGTGTTCTGTGTCACAGGAAACAATACAAACGATTATTCCGGGAAAGATTGCGTTAATACGTTGAGAAAAAAGCCGACATTTCGAGACGCCACTACTGTTTTCGTCTCCAAATGGCGTCCGTAGGAGCGCAGAAATTCCATACATCCAACTTCCAACAATATCTGTGTAGTGATTCTGACTAGTTGACCTCATTTCGCTGGGAGAGACGTGGTGTTGCCGCGAAATGTCGCGGCTGTTTTCTCAGGCTTGTTTTTGGGAAAACACAGTAGGATTAATCGTTTGTCTCACGATAATCGCTTTGTTTTTGAGTGCAGTGCAAACAATTTGTTGACCAAGCCATTGGCCAGTAAGGCCAATATAAATAAAATTAATATTAATATAAATAAAAAATTGAATTTGTTTCGCATATACCACATTTAGCACAAACTAGGAAGTTGCGTAGTTTTGTTACTTA